CAGCAGAGCTGTCTTCAGGGACAGAAAGATACTGAGTTGAGGATCGAAGGGATCTGACGCGGCTTGTGTAGCGAGGGCGAGATCCTAAGAGGGCATGAGAGGGGGCGGGTGGATTAATTCGCTTAACGCCCCTGAGGAACCGGATGATGAGGTTATGCGTTCCCACGGTGCTGCCAGCCACCGCGTTATGAGAGCGGAGATGGCAGCCACGTAACCTTGAGTGTGGAGGGCGACAGCCTGCTCTCCAACTTCTCTCGGCGTAAAGAAAGCACAACGCTGATCTGGCAGATTACGGGGGTCTTCTCAGCGAGAGACACACCATTCAGTGAATAGACTCCACGTCAGGGCATAGGCGCGCTCGGGGAGGGGGCTCTAGCCCGAGTGACGGTATTAGCCACCAATCGGAGGTTACCTAAGTCTTCCTCGCGTCTAAAAATCTCCAAAGATCGGCGAGGGTGCCAGGTGGTGCCCTGTCCCTGAGAGAGTAGGTGCTCTCTCGAAGGGACCGCCAGGGGAGGGCTATCGCGAGGGAGAGCTCTGACATCCAGGTCCGGTTGAGCCAGAGGGGCGCAACCAGCAACCTGTTCCTCGTCCTCCCTGACCTTGCACAGTAACTGCGCGAGCAGGCTCACTGGGGGAAACGCGTATTTGCGCGTGCCCCGAGGCCAGCTGTAAGCCAGTGCATCCGTGCCGAGAGCACTCGGTCAGGGAAAGAACAACTGGCAATGAGCAATCTCGGGGGAAGCAACAGATCGATCTGGGCTTCCCCGAATCGCGCCCATATCAGCTGAACAGACTCGGGGTGGAGTCTCCATTCTCCAGGACGCAAGGCTGCCGTGAGAGCGCATTGGCTGCACGGTTGAGCTTGCCTGAATATGAATGGCGTGCAGCGATTTCAGCCGCGGATGACTCCAGAGGAGCAGACGGCGGGCGAGCTGAGACATGCGGCGAGAGCGCATACCCCCTATACGGCTGATATACGCTACCGCCGCCGTACTATCCGTCCTGACCAGCACGTGTTGCCGCTCCAGCACCGGAAAAAAACGGTGGAGAGCGAGGAACACTGCCAACAGCTCCAGGCGATATGCCAATGCAACTGGGTACCTTTTCACAGGTCCGCAGCCGCATGCCCGCAACGCACAGCCCCCCAGCCCGTGTTGGAACCGTCTGCTGAAACGACAACAAGACTGGACGCCTGTTCTAGAGACACCCAGGCCTGTAGGAAGGAGGGGTCGCTCCAAGGGCTGAGGGCGCGGCGACACAGCGCAGTAACAGAGACTCGGTGTGCGCGAGCGTGCCATGCGCGTCTGGGGACTCGATCGTGAAGCCAGTGCTGAAGTGGTCTCATATAGAATAATCCGAGTGGCATGAAGCGGCTGCGGATGCCATATGCCCCAGGAGCCTCTGAAATAGTTTCAGTGGGACCACTATTTTACTGTCGAGCTCTCTCAGACAGTACAGCATCAGCTGAGCACGCTCTCCGGAGAGGCGCGCTGCCATGGTGACCGAGTCCAGCTCCAGCCCGAGAGAAGAGATCCTCTGCACGGGGGCGAGTTTGCTCTTTTCTCGGTTGACCTGAAACCCCCACAGGTGGAAGTGCCAGAGCACTTTGTCTCTGTGCATAATCAATTGCTCCGAGAGAGGGCAAAAATCAGCCAGTCGTAAAGAAATCGAGTATGCAGATGCCCGCGAGCCGAAGGGGCGCTGAGGCACCCTCCGCGGGCTTGGTGAGGACCCGCGGAGACAGAGAGAGCCCGAAGGGGAGGGCTTTGTATTGCCAAGCTCGACCTTCAAACGCAAACCGCAGAAACTGACGGTGGCGAGGAAGAGTGGAGACATGGAAATACGCGTCCATCAGGTCTAATGCTGCAGACCAACGCAGAGGACGAACGCACCGGAGGATGCGCTTCTGCGTGAGCATTCTGAACGGCAGCTTGTGCAGGCAGCGGTTCAAAACGCGCAGATCTAGGATTGGCCGTGACCCACCGCTCTTTTTGGGCACGATGAAGTGTGGGCTGTAAAACCCGCTCTCCATCTCGGCTGGAGGGAGCGGCTCGATTGCATCCTTCGCCAGGAGGACAGCAATCTCCTCTCGCAAGACAGGGGCGGACAGGGGGCTGACCCTGGTGAATACACACCCGCGACTTGGGGGGTCGTTTCGCGAACTGAATCGCATAGCCGAGTCTGATTGTGCGTATGAGCCACCGCGAAGAGCTGGCCCGCGCTAACCAGGCAGGCAGAGCTCCCGCTAATGGACTCATCGCTACAATCGCTGACGTACCAGCAGTGGGGCAGCGCGGAGTGGGTGTGCTGATCCGGGAAGCTCGCGGGTCCCACGGAAAAGCTGGAGGTGAGATATTTGCTCTCACTCCGAACCCGAGCTCCGGAGGGGAGGCTCGAGGGGTGGGAGAAAGGAGACCGTCCTCCCAGCGCTCGTGAGCCACTGGCGAAACGCACCGAATCTGCAAGCTAGAAAGCATAGCGTCCCAGACTGGCAGATTTCGGGCTGTCACATCTGGGGAAGTAAAAAGTGCCCTTTCATAATGTTTTCATGGCAGTAAAAAGTGCCGTTGGAAATGGGGCCCCGCCCTCCAGCGGGGAAAGAGCAAGTTCCCTCTTCTCCAGATGGCCTGTCCCAGGGACGCTTCGCGGTCCGTTGCCAGACTTAGCGGCGTTCTGGGCAGGGGGGCTGCCTGCTTCCGAGGTGCCCGACGTGCTCGCTTCGCCAGAGGCGTGTGCGGGGGCGGAGCAGCTCTCGTAGGCGGGCGCCTTCGGCGAGGAGCAGGTATGAATGGCACGGCGGGCGGAGCGGGCTACGGACCGCCGATAAGACATCACCCACCAACTGCTCTCTCACCGCCTTGAATTCCTGGGTGAATTCACAGACGGTGTCGCCGAACATGGCTTGGGATATGGGGAAAGTCAAGAAAGCGGACTTTGTCGACTTCGCGCATATCAGCCAGGGGTGGCGCTCCTGGATCACTAATGTGGACATCGTCCTCCCCAACGCACACGCAGCGGACGGAAGCAGCCCGGGAAAGCACGGCTAACATGTCCGTTTCAGGATCCGTAGTGACAGCGCTCACCAGCCCGAAGGGGGCGAGCGGGTCTGGATCATCATCGGACAATGAAAGCCCACCCTCCGATGCCGCGGTGGACGTCTGGTCTCCGGTGTCATCGGGCGTAAGGGCTACCATCTGTTAGACGGATCGCTTCCCCCGCCCGAAGCTTGGATGGAGCGCTTAGAGGAGCGGGAGGTCCGCGGGCCTGTGGGCGACGGATTATCTCTCGCTGAAACCCTCAGATCTGCCCGAGTGCCCGCTGCAGAGCAGGGGACAACTGGGGTGGTTCGCCCTTTTGCAAAGGCTAGCCGCGATCTTTACTGCGCAACAGTCATGGCATCGCAATGATGACATGAACTGCCCGCGAGCAGCGCATTAACATGCTGGACCCCCCAGACATGAAACGCGGTGCTCGTGCCCATCATCCGAGGACAGGAAACCACCGCATCCAGAAACGCACAGTCGGAGCGCCGTCCTGAAAAGGACGTGCTGCACGACTGTGTTGCTCTTTCTGTGAAGTTTGCAACTTTATACGCACCGCTCTGGAGGACCGGACCCAAAGAACGCCAGGCAAGGGAGAAACCCAGCTCGACCGTCTGCCGCTGCGTGTACACACTCTGGACCGGGAGAATGCTCTCGTTCGCTCAGAATCGCTGGTCACAGCAGGAGGAACCCTCATCGACTCGATCAGAAAGTCTCTGAAGCGAAAAGGATGGCGTCTGCTCGCTCCAGGTGTGCTTATATGCTGGGATAATTGGCAATGAAGTACACCTGTGCAAGCTTACGCTGACAATTCATTGCATTCATTGGCCCGTTCAATACTCTTTCAGACAAGCGGCTTCTGAACCGAATCCTCCCATTTCGTGGATTCAATCAATCCACTCTATGGCACTGAAGTTCCCCAACCGAAGGGGAACCAATAATACTGCGCATGCGCAAATTAGTGAACTAAACACAAACAGTACATGACAGCCTGTTAAGACTGAATCAATCTTGACCGACTGCAGCGCGGGTAAACTGAAGGATTAAATAAGAAGACCAGGCGAAACTCAAGTTTATTTCAAAACAGAAAGTCTAATGGAATTTAAATAAGTGAATCATTCTTCGGTTGGGTTGCAAAACGTAACTCTAATAAACTTTTCAGATCATGGCGATGCTTTAACTGACTGAAATTATGATTGCTGACTACGTGTTAAGTCCTAACCTGTCAACATTAATTTTAATAAAAGATCTGGTTCGCGTTAAAGATCCTGTGTACTACTGTGTATCAAACATCAGAAGCAGCCTTGCACAGGCTTGTAGATGGTAATGGTAGATTCTAGTGTTATTGTGTCTTTTGGTTGATTTTTTATTATACAATATTTATTCAGATGATTTTCAGTCTTACATCTAACAAATATCCTTATTTACAAAACTCAACAAACTAAAAAGTAAAATTAACACTAAAACTAATAAAAACTAAACTAAAACTAAGCAATTTCAAAATATAAAAATTAATAAAAACTAGTAAATCACCCTCTAAAAAAACTAATTAAAACTAACTGAATTTGATTGAATTGAAATGAAAAGTAAAACTAATGAACAATTCTAAACTATTTTAACCTTGATCTAGATAATACTTGAAATCTCTTTTAAATGAACCAACTACACTCTAAAAATGTCCTCTGGTTTTGTAACCAAAACTTGCTCTGTTAAACATAATTTGGAAAATATATATATAAAAAATAAGAAAAACTAAATTCTTTTTACAGACTATGACAGTTTGTAATATGCTTAAAACTGCTCCGTTTAGATTAATTTCAAATAGAACTAAGCACTAGGACTTTTTAAAGGCTATTTTCTAAACTTGATCTCTACTGTATGTGTGAAACACTGCATGCTGTTTTAAGGTTACTATAGTCCACTCTTTGTGTTTTACTCATATGACCTGACCCTTACCTTTCGTTTGCGAGGGATGGGGTCCTCGAACAGGAAGTGTGTGCTCTCACTCTCTTCATTGTTGTCGTCGCTCTGGCAGGACAGCAGGAAGCTCTTGCCCGTGTCATTGGAGAGCGGCGGTGATGGCGTGGAGGGCACTGATTGGTCACTGGCATCCCAACTCCAGTTTCCACTGGTGGAGCTGCTGTAGCTGGCAGACAGACTCTCTTTCCAGGCTTTACCAGCCAGATCTACACCTGAAGACGAGATCCAAATGCATTTAGGAGGCATCAAGCGCAAACAGACACAAAGAGTTGAAATGAAAGAAAACAATAGACAAAAACACACACATATAGAGTTGAAGTCAGAATTATGAGCACCTCTGTTTATTTTTTAACCCAATTTCTGTTTAACGGAGAGAAGATTTTTTTCAACACATTTCTAAACATAATAGTTTTAATAACCCATATTTAATAACTGATTTATTTTATCTTTGCCATGATGACAGTAAATAATATTTGACTAGATATTTTTCAAGACACTTCTACACAGCTTAAACTGACATTTAAAGGCTTAACTAGGTTAACTAGGTTTACTATGCAGGTTAGGGTAATTAGGGTAATTGTATAACCATGGTTTGTTCTGTAGACTATCAAAAATATTTATATAGCTTATAGGGGCTAAAAATTTTTACCTTAAAATGGTGTTTGAAAAATTAAAAACTTAAAACATTCAAAGGAAGGGTAATAATTCTGATTTCAACTGTATGTGAAGTCAAAATTATTAGCACTAGTGTGAAGTTTAAACTTTTAAAAAGACATATTTCCCAATTACTGTTTTTATGGAGAGATTTTTAATAACTAGATTACAGTGACAGAACATTATATTTTTCTATTGATTTTGCAAGCTACTAGCTTCCGCTTAAAGTTATGTTAACTAGACATTTTATATAATTAGGCAAGTTATTGGACAACAGTGGTTTGTTCTGTTAAAAACTAAAAACAAATATTTTTATAGTAACTAATTATATTAACCATCATTATTTGAAGTGAAGTATATTCATAAACACGGCTGATTCCACCAATTAGGCCATTCCTAACCCACTATAAAGAGCCAGGGTTTTTTCACTACAGTCATCTTCGATTTGAAGAGCCCCCCTTCCACCCCTACCTCTTCAACTTTCCCTCCATTGGGCAGCACACTGGCCCAGTGATTAGCACTGTTGTCTCACAGCAAGAACGTCACCGGTTCTAGTCCTTTAACAGGCCAGTGATCGTTTCTGTGTGTAGTTTGCATGTTCTTCCCGTGCTCGCGTGGGTTTTTCCCGGGTCCTCCGGTTTCCTCCCACATTCCAAAAACATGCACAAGTAAATTGATAAATCAAAATTTTGCACTACAGTTAATCTCCCACCCTGCAGCATATCTTTTCATAGCATTCAATTTTTAGTCATCAGTTTTTATCAAGCGGGAGTTGTCGAGATCTACCTGAGCTCAAGGCTCCCCTCTCGCCCTGCAAACGGGACCTTTGACCTTTGAGCTCAGGGCTCTCTCCTGGGACAGCATGCCAAACTTGCTTATAATCAATCATCAGCTAAGTGTGAACTCTTAAAACAGTGTTTATTTCAACTAAACTCAAAGAAATAAAACTTTCCCCAAAATAAAATAATATTATAGGAAATACTGTGAAAACTCCCTTGCTCTGTCACTTGCAAATATTAAAAAAATAAATAAATAAATAAAATTTCACAGGAGGACTAATATTTTTGCCTTTAACTGTATATCGTCACCTTGGAATTTTAAAGGTCTATTTGCGTTCTGAATGATTTTGAGATATTGAGCATCAAGGTTTTTGCATTCCATAGCAAACAGTATATGTGCAACATTTGTTTTTTAAATAAAAAGTTTTAAAATGTAAACAACTTAAAAAAAACAGCCCATAATGTAAATAAGTTGTCAATTAATAAGAATATGTCAAAAACTCAATTTTGACAAAAATGTCAAATAGAACCTTACAATTCTAAGGTGACAATATGTACACACAAAACTAAATATAACAATATATTTTGTATACTACAGAAATTGATATTTTTATATAAGGTTTTGATCCACTTCAAATGTTGACTACTGGATTTGTGTGTACATGTACTGTATGTGTGTATTAATCAGTACACCTAGTTTTTCTTGATTTGCCGAATTCAAAGCAAAATCAACAAAAAGTTGCAAACTTTTGCGATCCTGCAAAATGTTTAATTTATACACAAAATAATCACAATTAAAAAAAAATTAATCTCATAAAACATCAAATTCCAACCCACATAGTCAAATTACATTTTTTTCAGTTTGCAATTTATTGTTATACATGACTTCTAGTGTTTGACACGCTTTAGACTGCACAAGAAAATGTAAGCAAACATCTAACAAATAAAGCAATAGCACAAACAGAAAAACAAGCAGCTTACAATGATGGAGATTGGTTCAAGGATGACGGCTGCTGGATGTGACCGAATTGAAGGACATTATTTTTATGGCTGGTATTAAGTCAAATTGATAAGTGAAATCTTAGAAGGAAAAAGTAAGATCGTGGATAAAAATAAGAGTAATACAACCTTTTTAGATCTTGTCTTGACAAAAGACCAAAATAAAGAAGCTTTATTTTTGTTATCGCAAAGTTTTCAGCAAATTTCTGAGAATTACGACCACAATATCAGTCATTTTTATAGCAAAAAAATCACACACACACACACACACAAAAAAATAGGGGGTCTGATATTTATATGAACATAATAAAACGAAAAAAAAAAAACACAAAAGCCCAGAATACAAAAGTAAAGGTAAATTAAAACAAAACTAAAAGAAAAACACAAAATCTAAAATAAGCAAAACTAAATAAAGCTAAAAGAAAACAATTCAAAACCCAACAAAACACAGAAAAAAAAGCATGAATGAATGAATACACAATAATAAAGGCAATGCAAAAACAAAACAAAAATTAAATTTCATTAAAATAAAACATAAAAACAATAAAGCAACAACAACATTTCAAATAAAAAAACAATCAAAACACAAATTAAGTAATTACTAAACAGAAAGAAAACAATTAAATAAAAATAGAAAACAAAACACAAAAATATAACACTTATAAAAGCAAATGAACAACAACACAAGAGATACAACTTTGCATGTATAAAAAAATGAAATATAACAACTTGTAATCCATTACCAACAATATTAAAAGCTATATTAAAATATTAAAAAGTCAGAGGCTACAGGTCAATTTCCATGAGTGCAAATCATAGCTTTCATTCGGATATCTTTTCATCCACAGAATCCAGGAAATTTAGCATCACACCCAGTCTGAATAATATTAATATGTCTTCCCTTATTTCCTTGCTTTTAACTCTTCAGTCACATAGGAGTTAGTGTGGGCAGATAAAGAATACAACTTAAGCTGCACGCATCGCTGTGGATCTACATCAAACAACACACTGCCACTGTAATGTGTAACTCCATTGTTTTAATTCACCGACGCGTGCTAGACATTCATTTCAAAGCTTGTTTTGCTGCCTGTGGCATCGGTAGTCAAATAAATGTTTTATATATAGCAACACATGACTTACTGTAGTATACACTGAACGACTACAAACCACAGGTAAATTACTGCTTCTGACTGTGTTTACTTAAAATTCAAATCCTGAAATGTTTAAATTAACATATACATATATATAATCCACTTATATTTACGTTTTACCTAACAAATGAATTAAACATACATTTGTATTAGTATTGTTGTGCTTTCTATTGTTTGCTTATATTGTCTAATAATGAATAGATTGAGGAACACTAAAAAGATGTACGTCTAACTTACTTTAAAAAATAATGTTTAAAATGAAAATATATAATAATTTTTAAAAAATAGGGAGGGAGATGGTAATAAACAACGTCATGGATTGCTAAATACCTAAGGTATCCATTTAAGATTTAACGAAGGGTTAAAGGAACACTCCAGGTTTACTGGAAGTAAACTCGTTTTACAACTCTCATAGAGTTATACATTTGAGTTTTACCATTTTTTTAAATCAATTCAGCCAATCTCTGACTCTGGTGAGAGAACTTTTAGCCTAGCTTAGCATAAATCCTTGAATTGGATTAGATCAGTAGCATTCAATTTAATTCATCTTCATTTTTGCAGCGCGTTTACATTGTAGATTGTGTCAAAGCAGCTTAACATAGAAGTTCTAGTGGATTGAAATCGTGTCAGTCCAGTTTTCAGAGTTGAAGTTCAGTTTAGTTCAGTTCAGTTAAAATTTTACTACTGAAAGACTAAACACTGAAGAACAAATCCATCGAAGTGCAGAAACACAAGTCTCAAACCAAGCTAGTCAGTGGCGATAGAACAAACTTCACCAAGTGAAAGAAAAAAAAAAACCTTGAGAGAGACCAGGCTCAGTTAGGAATGACCATTTCTCCTCTGGCCAAACTTCTTGTGCAGACAGAGCTGCAGTCTAGGCGCTGGAGGCTGGGGAAAGCTGGATGTCCATCGTGGAGAAGTTGCGGGTGTGAGTAGGTCATCGGTGAATGTTCAGGCTGGCCCACGGGATCAATGCGGAGATTCGTCTGTCACTGGGGTATTTTAGTAATCAGTCTCATGCTCTCCACTCCTCTATAACCGCCACAGCATCTGCTCAGAATACGTCCTGGTCCAGGATTATAGATACCTTTAGAAGTCCTCTATGTTTGGCATCATCTCTTCACAGGGCTTGGATCACAACAATGGCGCTACACAGTCCCTAGAAGCATCATGATATAACTACAGAAGAGTCAAGCTTTAAATAGGAACATTTCTAAAACTCTACACAATTGAGTGAGATGCTAACGATCTAATCTGATTCAATGATCTATGCTAAGCTAAGCTAAAATTGCTCCCGACAGACCCGGAGATCAGCAGAATGTATTCAAAAAACTATGGAGTTGTAAAATGAGCCTATTTCCAAAAAAGTGGAGTGTTCGTTTAACTTTAATCAATATTTTCAGCCATTTCAAACAATAATTTGTGTATGTTGGCTATGTAAATTATTTTTCTAAATTCTGGTAATGAACTGTTTTTCTACAGAATTCATTAATTCCTTCATTTTCTTGTTAGCTTAGTCCCTTTATTAATCCGGGGTCCCCACAGCAGAATGAACCGCCAACTTATCCAGCACGTTTTTACGCAGTGGATGCCCTTCCAGCCGCAACCCATCTCTGAGAAACATTCACA